TGTCTTATTATTTAACTTATTATGTTATTAGAAAAACTAAGACTCTGAATCAAGTGCTTTTGATTGGAAGGAATGGGCCCACAAGTTTCTTCAAGCATTGCAGGGTTCATTTTAACGTCACACATGGATAGGAAAGTAAGGGCCGCAGACCAAACGACAGATTTGGTGGCAACCTAGAAAAGCCACACGGCTTGGCCTGCTGAGAGGAAAAGGAGCAGCAGAACTTGTGTGCAGCCTGACAGAGCCCAGGATGTAGCTCAAAAACCAGCAGGTGGCATGGTGGTTAAAGGCTCTGGATTCCCACATGGCTCATCATCGTCATTCAAGTCCCGCACCTGGTGGCTTCCTTTCTTGCTTTCTCTTTCTCTCTGTCTTTGGTAAAATTAAAAAATAAAAAATAAGAATTATTAAATAAATAAATAAATAAACAGTTCTTCCACAATTTTAAAGAACAGACCCTCCATCTCCCTCCAGCTCCCAAAATCTAACACAGTTCTAAAGAACAGACCCTCCATCTCCCTCCAGCTCAGCAGCAGGGTCCACCCATCCATGCCTTCATGCTTGGTCACTGGGGAACCTCAGGTATTGGGTCTCTGCTGCTGTTGTTCCTGCTGCTTGTCTAAGTGTCTGCTGCTTCAGGAGCTCAAACGCCTGCTTTTCTTCTGCCTCTTTTACTGCCAGTCACTCATGTAAGCCTTCTTGTCAAATGTGCAAGGATAGAGGCCCTCACGTCTCTAGCTGGGCTGGGCCTTCCTTGGCTGGCTGGCCAGTTGGTGGGTGGCTTCTTGGACCAGGCACACAACGCCGGTTCATTCAACCATGCTAAGTGTGGTGGGTTGTGGGTATGACTCTGGGTGTGGGTAGAGGCTTTAGAGGGGCTGAGGGCATGCAGAGCAGATGTCCTGAAAGTCAGAGCCCCTATCCCTGGCTCATAAACATGACATGACCAAAATGTGAGGGATAAGGGACAGAGATTACATGGGATAACATGGTGAGTTTGTATGCTTTTCAGTTTTAGCTTATTTTAAATCATCACAAGGGGGGTTTGCTTTGGGTTTTGGGATTTTTTTTTCTCTGCAAAGGTGAGGAGTATATATTTCTAGGTTCCCTGATGCCATGAGTATGCACCAAGGAAACCAGTCAGAGAATCAACAATGGGGCTTAGTGTGTATTTCACGTTGACAGCAGATTCCCTCTATAGGGAGAGGAATATGAAGCCTTGACAAGACAGGGTGAGTATTCAGCAATGATGTAAGTAATTCACTAACGAGGGGTCTGCAGGATGGCAAACTTGGTTCAAAAGAAGCTATGAGAACAAAGATTTTGTGCATTCAGAGAACAAAATGAAATACTGAAGTAAGATTGCAAAGTTAGTATCCTACAGGACAATAAAACTATATGGGGATTATTTTTTCTACCAGAAAGAAATCTTTGACATCTCTACTGAACAAAAAAGTCATTTGCATTTTAACTGTTTCTACACAATATTGTCTAATTTTACAGAAGAGTGACTGTCTGGACTCTCAATTAATAGTACATAGTAAGTCAGTTTTCTTCCCCTAGAGAGCCAAATGACTCTCAGATGGGCTTGTTAGACATTGCTTTAGTTTAGTATTGAAAGAACTTTTTGCTTTGTTCCCGAAACATTTATAATTCTTTTTAACAGAGGGAAAGATCAACGAAGTTTTGCTTTAATATGTATTAAGGAAGGGAAAAACCAGGGCTCAGCAGGTGGTGGTATGGTTAAGGTGCTGGCCTCTCTCGTGGTTGGCCATGGTTCAAGTCCTGGGCCTAGCAGCTTAAAACTCATGCTGGGCGTGTATGCGTGCATGTGCCCAAAATACAGAGAGGAGAAGGGGTCGTGGTACAGCCATCTTTGTGGAGGGGCGAGGGAATTCTTGCTTCTGTCTCTCTCTGTCTGTCTGGCAAGTGCACATGTCCTCTGGCAAAAATCTCTTGGGAGGGGAGGGAGTCAGGGGAAGGGAGAACAATTGTGAATGTGGGAGGTACAAGGCCCCTGGAATGGAGGCACAGGGGTCTCTCTACCTGGCAGGGCAACTCACTAGTGGTGTGACCTGACATCGAATCTTACTGGATCAGAGTCCTCATCAATAAAGTGGGGAAATTAAACTAAACCCTTGGCATGACTTTGCCCTAGAGGTCATTTTCAAAAAAGAAAAGAAAAGAAAAAGCACCACTCACCTATCCAATACTGATCTTGAGAGAGGAAGAGGAAGAGGGAGGTAGGCTGAAGGGACTTTTTGTACAAACGTTCCTGGGCTGGGAGAGGATCGTTTTGACTGCTCCGGGCCGATGCCCAATCATGCATCCTCACAGGCTGGTGAGGACGGAAGTGGACGGGCCGCCCTGAGCTCTATGGCTTGCAGGATGCACTTTCTTAACTGAGTGCAGGACAGGAGTCGCCGGGCAGCTGGTGGTGAATTTCCTCAGCAGCATCACACCTCTCCGTAGTCAGATTGCTCGTGTTGCCCACCCGCACTGGTGTGGAGGTGTGTCCGGAGAAGGGCACCTCTCCTCCTACCCGGGAACCCACCAGCAGCTCCTCCTGCAATGCAGCGCCTCCAGCCCAAACTGCTGCAGCGTGGAAAACCGAGCCAGCACCACAGAGCACCTGCGCCTGGCGGGCTCAGAGCCAGAATCTCCTGGGGTGACTGTACCAGTGAGCTGCCCCTGAGTTCACTAAACACTCTGCCCGTTCCAGGCCGTGCTTGCCAGTTGTCATGGCGTTTTCTGTTTTGACAGAACACACTGAATCCCTTGACTATGTCACCCAGGAAGGGTGGAGGTCTTCACCACCTTCCTCATGTTCCTGCTCAGGTCGCCTGACCTTGGTTGAACCAAAGTGTACTCTGTGTTTACCCTGAGAGTGAGAAAGATTTTCAGACAACTGAGCAGCTTTTAAAAAAAATTTTTTATTTGCCAGAGAAAAACAAAGAGATAGAAAGGAAAAGGGGAAAAACACCCCCCAGTGGGGCATAGTCACATGGCGATCCCTTCTCCATCCTGCTAGGATTTGGGGTACTCTCACACCTGGGACTCCAGTAGCTCTGTGGGCCATGTGGAATCTGGCTCTCTGGTGGCTTAAGCAGCTTCCTCTTTATCCTCTTGGGGCCCCATGAACATGCCCCTTTTTCATCTCCACAGTAGACAGAGTCATAGAGTCCTGCTCTCTGGTTGTTTCTGTCAACTCTAACTTGGACCAGACCTACAAAAGCTAAGAATTCACTCTCTCTAGTAACTTGGAGTGGGGCAGGGTCCATGCAGGCATCCCAACAGGAGGAGTCAAGGAGCAAGGAGACCATGAAGACAGCAAGAGGTGTCAGGGAGGGCTTAAAACACAGTGCTGAGCAAATGTCCAACCACTGTTTCTCTGTTGGGCAGGGGTGCAGGTGGGAGGTAATAGCGGCATTTAAGGCAGGACATTCTTCTTGGTTTAGGACAGGACTGCATGCTGGAAGTCTGACAGCATTAGCCTCCTCGGCCCTCCCTGTGCCCATGCATGAAATACCAGCAGCTCCTCCCCATCCTGTGGCAACCAAAAAATACAGCACGTATGTCCACAAACCCTCTAAAGACAAGGTGTCCCCTCAGGTTGGAAAAAAAACAGATAATTTCCCAAAATATATTCTAAAAGGCATTAATTAGTTCCTTTGGGTGTAAGCAGCTATGGGCATTATATGAAAAGAGTTCATACTGTTTTGGGGAAATGGTGGGTTAAAAAGGGGGGTGGGAGGGACCAACAGATGGTGTAATGGCTACATCGTTGGACTCCCACATAGTTGATTGTGGTTCAAGTCCTGGATCCAATGACTTAAAACTCACACTGGGTGAGTGTGCATGGGTGCCCAAATTCCAAGAGGAGAGTGGAGGAGAAGGGATTGATGTATGGCCATCACCCCCCCCCGGGGGGGGGGATTTCTCGCTTCCTGTCTCTCTGTCCCTCTAGTGAGCACACACACCCTATAGTAAAAAATCTCTCCTAAAATAAATAAATAAATAGGTGAACAGGGGACCAGCAGATGATGTAACAGTTGCATCGTTGAACTCCCACATGGCTGACCATGGTTCAAATCCCAGACCTGGAGGCTTGAAACTCATACTGGGTGCATGTGTGTGCTTGCCCAAAATCTCAAGAGGAGAATGGTGCCCATGCATGAAATACCAGCAGCTCCTCCCCATCCTGTGGCAACCAAAAAATACAGCACCTATGTCCACAAACCCTCTGAAGACAAGATGTCCCCTCAGGTTGGAAAAAAAACAGTTTGATCATTTCCCAAAATATATTCTAAAAGGCATTAATTAGTTCCTTTGGGTGTAAGCAGCTATGGGCATTATATGAAAAGAGTTCATACTGTTTTGGGGAAATGGTGGGTTAAAAAGGGGGGTGGGAGGGACCAACAGATGGTGTAATGGCTACATCGTTGGACTCCCACATAGTTGATTGTGGTTCAAGTCCTGGATCCAATGACTTAAAACTCACACTGGGTGAGTGTGCATGGGTGCCCAAATTCCAAGAGGAGAGTGGAGGAGAAGGGATTGATGTATGGCCATCAACCCCCCCCGGGGGGGGGGATTTCTCGCTTCCTGTCTCTCTGTCCCTCTAGTGAGCACACACACCCTATAGTAAAAAATCTCTCCTAAAATAAATAAATAAATAGGTGAACAGGGGACCAGCAGATGATGTAACAGTTGCATCGTTGAACTCCCACATGGCTGACCATGGTTCAAATCCCAGACCTGGAGGCTTGAAACTCATACTGGGTGCATGTGTGTGCTTGCCCAAAATCTCAAGAGGAGAATGGAGGAGTAGGGATTGAAGCATGGAAGGAGAATGGAGGAGAAGGGATTGAAGCATGGCTACCTCCCACACACACACACAGTGTGGCGAGGGGAGGTAGTGATTTTTTGCTTTCTGTCTCTCTGGCAAGTTCATATGCCCTATAGCAAAAATCTCTCTAATAAATAAATAAGGTACAGGATTTACTTACAAGACTTCTCAGAACCTTTAATGTAATAATGCGTGTTTCGAGTCACCAAGAGGGGCGGCTCTGTATGCGGATTCAAACTTAATGCACCGTGGAATTCTTTCTCACTGGGACTATCTGTGGGAGGGGACCCCACCTGGATACCTCTTAACTACACTGTATCCTCCAGAGCACCCCCTGGAGGTTTTCATATCCTCCACAGCTTGAAGCTCAGAAGCCAATAGTCAATGGGCCCTTGTTTTCACTGAACTGAAACACCTTCAGAACTTGGGCAAAGTAGAATGTGTAAAGATACCAGGAAGGAGGCCAGAGCTTCAGGAAACCACTGCAAAGATGACCTCACAAAGAAACCAGTGTGGTGTGGCCGCTGGGGTGCTGCTCGGGGTAATGTGTGCAACTCGCTCCTAAGAAGGAACAGCCTGGCCGGCGCCTTTGGCTTGCATGTTTCAGAGAAACGAAAATAGCCCAGGTGTTTGGAAGGAAAAACTGTGTGGATGAAACTCTTCAAACGCTGAGAGATGAGTTGGCGGCCTTCCCCTCTTGCTGGTCCGGCAGCCTGTGTGTGGAAAGGCTTGCCTAGGAGATGGGTCATGGCAGCGTGGGTGAGATGCTGGAACTACTGGCCCAGGCAGAGAGCATGGCAGTGAGTCGTAGGGCACTGACTACCGTCAGGTGCTCAGGAGAGAAGCAGAAGCCAGGAGACACGCTGAGCTGAGCTGGGCTGAGCGAGGAGCAGAACTCTCCTGTTGTGCAAAACACAAAGAGCAGAGTGTTCAAGTCCAAGGATCAGGTTTCTAAAATGGAAGCCCAAGCTGGGCATGCTGAGCTGCAGGCTTTGCGCCAAGGTCAGGTGTACACAAACCTGCCTGTCCCCATCCAGGAGGGTGCCACCCAAACACACCCATCCCTCTCAGGGCGTAGGCACTAGGCCACAGGCTCTGCCGCTTCCCGTGTAAAACTGGGTGAGCACTCAGTGACCGACAAGGTCTGGCTCCTTACACACACCCTCCCAGCCTGTGCCTCTGGGCTCTGTTCCCCTCATACTCTGCACTAGTGAAAGCTCTCTCTCTCTCTCTCAGCAGTTATTCACTGGGAGGAATTTTGAATTTTTCCAGTTTAACTGGCCTGGCCAGAGCCCGAGGCCCTGTGTTCAAGCTCAAGCAGTTCCAAAGAAAGAAAAGGAAAAGAGGTAGGTGGTCCCCACTTCTCCAGGGCTGGTGGGCTCTGAGGGTCTCGTATCTCGTATCAGCCTACAGGACAGACAATGGTGGTGTTCTTTTTTTTTTTTTTTTTTTTTAAGCCTCAACAACTCTTTTTGCTTGCAGGTCACAGTCAAGTTTATTAAACTTGGCTGACAGGAAACCAGTGACTAACTGGATAATTAAAGCCACAAGTCTGCAGGCCTGGGTGGGTCCCTTCTCTGGAATCTCCAGTGACTTGTCCCGTCGGCCAGCGCCCCTCATCCTCCTAGCAGCACAAATGCTTTCATGAATCTGAGACCCTCTGTGGTGGCCTCCATCCCCTCTCACCCACCCACTGCTTCACCCCTCAGCCCTCTGTCCCTGGTCCCCGTGCACTGCAAGGAGCGGGGAAATCTAACCCACTGACCACAGTGGCCCATGCTCCCCACCCTGCCCCAGCAGAACATGACAGAAGGTTTCCAACTAAACCGAAGTTACTCAGCAGAGCTTCCTGCCAGGCCATTGTGGGTACAGCCGGCCTCCCTCTGCTCTTTCTGTTCTATGAAACTTCTCTGCTTCAGATACCCGAGAGCCTTCCCTCCTCCTGGGGAGAGTGGACAGAGAACTTCAAAGCAGACAAGGCTGCAGCTGAGAAGCCCCTGGGTTGCTTCAAAGCCTTGTCTCCTCCCACCCAGCCTGAAGCTTCTGGTGACTGTCTCTCCCCCCATTTCTGAAACAACATAAAGGCTGCTGAAGCTTTCAGTATCCCTCTGGACATTTCTGTGTTTCTCCCTTTCATCTGAACCCCTGGGTCCCCACAGGGATAGCCCAGACCTCGGCCTCCGGAGGACTTTCCCCAGTTCCACTCTGCTGAGGCACGAGCCTCTCCAGCCCACCTCTGGCTGCCCCTGCTTCCTCGCCTTCTCCACGCTGCCCTTGTCGCTCTTCCTTCCTCTGAAGCCATAGCCCCTTTTCTACTGAGGGTAGAGGAGGGCCTGCAAGTGGGCTTGGGGGTGGGCTATGTGATTTCTGTATGCTCTTCCAGAAAGGGCTTGTGGTTGTTTTAATAAAATCATAGTGATGTTCCCTCCAAGTCTTCAGAGGCCATTTGATTACCGGAAGGTATGGGCCATGCTGAGTCTGCGGCTCCCTTGGCACACTGCTTCTTAACTCCTGGTTATAAAGTCCCTAAGCTGAGAAGCAACAGCAATACGAGGGGCTGGGCCGTGGTATAGTGGTGAAACGCCATGTTCTGCAAAGCTGACCCACATGGTAACGTTCTGGGTTCACATCCAGGGACCTCTATGAATACGCGGGGCCTGTGTGTGCCCGTGATCAGGGTGACCAAGGCTGGCAACAGATTTCAGTGTCAAGACCTCGTTGGGGCGTTGTCTCTTTGTGTCTCTCTTGATCTCTCTGTCTCTCTCACTCATGGAACAAAGGAAGAAATGTTTTTGTTTGTTTGTTTTTAGTTTGCTATAGGGCATGTCACTTGCCAAAGAGAGACAGTGAGAAAGTGAGAAATGGCCCTCTCCTCAGAGGGGATGGTCACACGGCAATTCCTTCTCCTCCATTCTTCTCTCAGGATTTGGGGCACACACGCACAAACCCCCAGCATGATTTTCAAGCCACAGGACTCGAACTACATAGTCAGCCACGTGGGATCCACCTGCCCCAACCTCCATGCCACCTGCTGGACCCAAAATATTTTGAAAGAATTATTATTTTATTTAACTTTATTTATTTATTTACTTTTTTAAAATTTAACCAGAGAGGGACAGAGTGAGAAAGTGGGAGAACGAGAGCGAGAAAGCGAGCCACCAGGTCCGGGGCTTGAACCATGGTTGGCCATGTGGGAGTCCAGTGCCCTTAACCACCATGCCATCTGGTAGCCCCCAAAATAAAAATTTAAGAAAAAGAGTAATATGGAGGCCAGGTGGTGGCATGGTATTTAAGGTGGCTAGATCTCACATGGCCAAATCCCAGACCCAGTGGTTTAAAAATCTTGCTGGGCGTGTGTGTGTGTGTCCAGACCCAGTGGTTTAAAAATCTTGCTGGGCGTGTGTGTGTGTGTGTGTGTGTGTGTGTGTACCCTAAATCCCAAGAAGAGAATGAATGAGAAGGAATTGTGGCTGGCCATCTTCCTCTACGGGGGTGATTTGTCACTTTCCCTCACTCAGGATCTCTCTGGCTCTCTTTGGCACATACACATGCCCTATGGAAAAACCTTAAAAAAAAAGAAAGAAAGAAAGAAAGAAAGGAAGAAAGAAAAAGTAATTTCAATGTGTACTTTCTAGCAAAAAACTCTTCCCACTAAACTGTAAAACTCTAAAAACAGGGGCTTTCTGACATTGATTCTCACAGCCTTATAAAACAGTAGTTTGTTGGACAATTATTCCTTAAAAGAAAAAATAAAAAAGAAGTTACTCTCTGTGCTCAAGATGGCCGACGCCAAGTGCTGTCACATGTATTTTGAGAAATCACACACACCATCTACCTCTCATGCCGCCAGAAACTGACGTTACCACACCTCTTGTCTCATCTACCATCTTATCACCTGTGCTGAACAGACGGAGACACAGCAAACCTTAAGCTGCCCTGCAGACTGATAAAGGCTTTTGACATAAAGAAATCTCATGGAGTTCTAAACCAAAACAAAAACTATATGGTCACACTGTGAAGTGCCCGTAGGCCTCAGAACTGTCCTAAGTGTCACCACCCACCTCCGGTCTCATGTCAGGCCATTGACGATGCTGAGCACAGAGCCTCTTGGCTGCGGTGTGACTTCGTGGTCAGCCAAGCTTGAGAGAGGCGAAGGAAGAAGCGCTGTGGGCGAACTCCGAGAGGCAGGTGGAAGTGGTGACTGAGCACAGCGCACACGTGGGGCGACTGCCGGGAGGTGGCTCAGGACAGATGAGTCTGCAGTGGGGACCTCCTCTGCAGAAGCAGCTTTCATGCCCCCCCTCACTCCAACACACACTTCAACCTGAAAAAAATCAAATAAAAATCATTGCGCGCACGTCGAAGGCAGGTCTATACTGTACGTGTGTGCTGTACTGGATTTCTTTGTTCTTGGGGAGCAGTCTAAGCTGTAAACATGACATTCCTTTTCAGTGTTGAATTGCTACTGCTCAAAAGTCAAAGAAAAAAAAGCTGCAGTCAAACCCTCTATTAACAGATAAATTTAAGTGAGAAAAATGTGAGCTCCTGCCAGCCGCTGATGACGGGTTTTCCAGGAGGGAATAGTGTGCTCGCGAGGCAGTGATCATGCGTGATGACAACCACCAATTTAACGAAGGGTCAGCTGCTCATTATGTATTTATTTTTAAATATTGAAACCCTCTGAGTTATACACTGGTCACTTGCTTGACATAATACCAATGAGTAACAGAAAGAACTCAACCATTTTCTGGGAAGGAATGAGTGTTTTCTTTTACGCTATTTTTCTAGACTTTAGAAGTCACTTACAAGTGAACTCTGAGTTGGTCAACCCAAATCTAAGATCTTTCTGGGCGATCCTTGAGGTTGCTAATCCGCAGTCTCTGGGCTGCTCTCTGAGCAACGGGATGAAGCCCCTGTCCCCCAGGCCATCTGTTGCCCACAAGTCAGAGCACTGGCCTGGCGGGCTGCACCTTGGTCATAATGAGCCATCTGGCTGCCTGGCGGAAGGAGCCTGTGGGGCCAGGTGTCTGGGCCGTTACTGACATTGCCACTGAACATTGCCAAGAAGCACGTTTGGTTTTATCCAGCATGGGCTGGCCTGGTAGTAAGAATGCATCCTCTCGGTCCAGGACACTTTCCAAAACGGGCTCAAAATTCTCAACCTCAAAACCATATTTTTTCTTGAACAATGAGACCTTCATTAGACCCGCCTGTTTGAGACCTCGTTCTGACCACTTCTCTCTGCATTTAGAATGGGACGGGGTTTCTGTATGTCTCATTGTCTTTGCTCGTGTGTGTCTTGATTAATCACAACAGCAGGACCAAGGCTTGGCTATGGAGATTTTCTTTGTGTCTTAAAGTTCTCCAGAAAAACTAAACAAAACAAAACAAAACAGAACCAGAAGGAGATGAGAGAGAGAGTGTGTGTGTGTATATAGGCTCTTTAAAAAGCTCATGGAAAAGGAATATTATAAAAAAAATATGGATTTCAAAATTTTTTTTTGCAGTGGAGTAAATTTTTACTGTATTTAATTTGCTAGGAGGCACCTGTGCTTGCCTAAACTACAGGAGGTGGGACAGGGTATGGGGGGGATGCAGAATGGGGTGGGTGAGAAGGCACTCCCTTCCCCAACGGGGGATAGCCACACCACAATTTTTTCTCCATTTCTCCTTTTGGGATTCGATAGCCACACCACAATTTTTTCCTCCATTTCTCCTTTTGGGATTTTAGGCACACATGCACCCAGCTTGGTTTTCAAAGTTACTGGTCCAGGACTCAAACAGTGCAGTCAGCCATGTGGGATCAAGTTGCGTTAATCACCACACCATTGGCTGCCTCTGCATATTTCTTTTCTTTTTTTCTTCTTCTTTTATTTTATTTATTTACTTATTTTTTAGTTTTTGCTATAGAGCACATGAGTTCACCAGAGAGAGAGAGAGAAGATAAGGCACCCCCATGAGGCATGGTTACAGCTCACTCCCTTCTCCTTCATTTCTCCCTCCTTTCAGGACTTTGGGCATGCATACATGCCTGGTATGTTTTTCAAGCCACCAGGTCCAGGATTCGAACTGTGAGTTGGCCATGTGAGATCCAGCCACCTAAGCTGCCAGGCCATGGCTGAGCTAACTGTGGAGTTTGAACCCATGTTTCCACAAACTTTTTGCAGAACTCGTGTCCCTACATGTGTGTGTGTGCACATGCGCAGGAAAGGAGATTTATAGTGAGGAGTCAGCTCACGCAGTTCCAGAGGCTGAGAGGCCCCACCGCCTGCATCTGCAGGCCTGAGACCCAGAGAGACAGTGGTGTGATTCAGTCCAAGTCCAAAAGCCAGGGAATCTGCGGAGCTGATGGCGTAGATCTCAGCTGAGGGCCCCAGAGGATGAGGCGACAAGTCCCAGCTCCAGCAGGGAAGCAGAGGAGAGGGCCAAACTCCTCCTGCCTCTGCCTTTTGTTCTATTCAGGCCCTCAGTGAACTGAGCTAGTGGTGGCTGTCCCCCTGAGCCAAGACACACCCCTCCTTCTCACTGTGCCCTCAGCACACACCGAGGTGGCCCTGCCTCACTTCCTGTTTGGAGTGTCCTGCAGGCTCTGAGAACCTCCTCTTAGCCCCCACCGTGGGTCCCACTCCCAGTTCTCTCCGCCACTCAGAGGGAGTCCAGACACACATTTCCTGGATTAAATGCAGTCCCTAGAGCCCTAGTTTATTCCTGCGTGAGCCCCCACCCCCACCCATATACACACACAAAAGCAACCTCCCCATTTACCAAGCCAAAGAATGCCAGGATTAACTCATAATTGAAACTTTTGAAGGAGAAGCTAAAGGCAGCATTAGCTTAGCATTCCACAGCTACTCATTAACTAGGCACTTTCTGTAACTCTGGGACAGCTGGAGATGCGTTCACGTGAGGGATACAAGCCTCAAGGATGCAGAGGAGGTCGCTCAGGGTTGGTAATCTGTGCTTCATAAGCAGCACAGGTGGAGCTGGTGTTCCAGACCATAGCCCATGGCAAGGCCTCGAGCAGGCACTGAGGAGCAAATCTGTGGATGGTCACAGAGAGCATGGGGCGACTGGCTGTAGGCAAGCTCAAGAGGCAGATAGATCACAGCCAACTGGCCAAGATGCACAGAGACCCAGTGCCTGAGCAGCCGGGCTGCACCTCCCACCTGCCAGCCAGATATTCTGGGGCATTCGCCTGCTCCCTGGGGCCATGTGCTGATTCTCCTGCTGGGAGGTGACTATGTGGGCTGCCATCTTCTTTGGACAGAATTGTGTGGAGTGTGCTGAAAGGGGCTGAGATGTCAGAAAACATTAGAGGTCCACGAGGCACCATAGCATAGCATCTGCTTTAGTCTCCAGTGGTGACTGCTCTT